TACGGTAATAGGCGAGTTCCCGCCCCGCCACTCCCCTCCGCGGTGACGTCACCGAGGGATATCGCGGTCGCTAGGCAACGCGAGTCAACAGCGGCGACGTTACGGTAGTAACAGCGGTTACCTCCGCTAGCGTTACATAGCAACACAGCGACATAGCAACAAGGGTGCCTATTACGTGGCCGTTTTCCCGTATTGTCCGATCGAGGCTACATACGGAGCAGCGAAGGCTATTCACAGTAGAGTTGTACTGAGACAGTCAGCGAGTCCTGGAGCTACCGCCGAGTTAGCCAGCAACTAGTCAGTTGTATTGTGGCATTTTTCAGTGTACTAATTGTGATACTGCAGATAGCAGTAATCGTCAGATTGTAATTTGGGTGATTGTGAGAGCGGATGTGAAATAAAATTCGCTATATCAAATACATCGAGAATTTATTTGTCGCGATATACGCCCGATACGCGACAATATGTATACTATAAGGGGAATTTCCCCAAAAAACCAAACCATAGGTCATAATTGAATGGAAGAAAAGTAAATCATTCTTAATGTACCCTGAGACATGTAAGATTTTAGGGCTCTAATCGCATAACATGCGGAGCCCAGTCTAGACATTAACCAATCCACATGTCCATTCCAAGACAATGTGTTATCAATAATAGGCCCCAGAAACTTAGTATTTCTAGTGTTAACAATCCGATCATCATCATCAATATGAATATCCATCGACTGGCCGTTCTTATTCAAAAATTCAATAAAATGTGTCTTCTTGAAATTTAATGTCAATAAATTATCTTGAACTATTTTTTTAAATCATACTATAGATCCTACTGCATGATATTAAGAAGAGTAATGAGAGAAGCTAAAAGGAAATATTTTAATCAGTTAATTACATCAGCTGAAAACAAAATAAAGACTACCTGGAACATTATCGACACTGAAACAGGGAGGAATAACAATAATAATAAAGAACGTCTACCACAAACTTTTCAAAATAATAGTAAAAAATTAATATTGATGATGCTGCTCATAGTTTTAATAGATATTTCACATCAATAATAGAAAATCTTAATATTAAGAAAACTAATGTCTGTACTGCAGTGTCTTAATCGCATACCCATTTCCCAAATGGTGTTCCAGATATGAATCTTAATTTAGTTCTAGAAGAGGAAGCAATTAGTATAATTAACAAATTAAAATCGAAAAACTCTTCAGGTTATGATGATATAACTAATAAAATTAATAAAACTGTGCAGACAACAAATTAGTAAACCGCTAACTTATGTAAGTAATAAGTCATTAACAATGGGTCTATATCTAGAAAGATTAAAATATGCAATTATTAAGCCAGTACACAAAAAAGTGGAAGAGGCTGTTATAAGTAACTACAAGCCAATATCTATAGTAACTGGGTTTGCAAAAGTATTTGAAACAGCAGTTTTTAAGAGACTCAATGATCATATTGTAAAACATAAAATATTACTTTCAGAGCAGTATGGATTCCAAAAGGGATTATCAACTGAAGATGCTATATATAAATTAACCAATTTAACACATACAGCTTGGAATAGAAAAGAGTATGTAACTGGTATATTTTGTGATATAGCCAAGGTGTTTGACTGCATCAATCACAAACTTCTGTAAATGAAACTACAGTACTATGGAGTGCAAGGTGTATTATTGCAATGGTTCAGTTCTTACCTCCACTGTAGGAGGCAAAGTGTGGAATTAAATTATATAAATAATAAATATTATTCCAACTGGGAAATTGTTGGATATGGTGTGCCTCAGGGATCGGTGTTGAGACCCTTACTCTTTAATATATACATAAATGATTTCCCCCTTGAAATAAGTAAAATTTTTGAAGTTATTATGCTTGCATAAGACACTAGTATTCTTTCCACAGCTAAAGACTACTATAATTTAAAAATAAAATTTGATGTTGATTTTAATCATATGCTTACGTGGTTTTAAAATAATCAATTTGTGTTAAATCTTGATAAAACAAAAATGATAAAATTCACCCCAACAGCAGCTATGAGCTACCCTCTATATACATTGTTTTTTAACAAAATGCTGAAAGAAGTAGAAACGATAACATTTCTCGGTTTACAGCTGGATAATCATCTGACTTGTAAGGGACATATCGATTTTTTGCTTCACAAGTTGAGCACAGTTGGTTTTCTGTTGCAAAAATTATCCTATATATAAAATATAAATACTCTTAAAGCTGTGTATTATGCATATTATCATTCATTGGTGAAATATTGAATAATATATTGGGGAAATACATCGGACAGTCATAAGGGCTTTGTTATACAAAAGAAAATAATAAGAATAATGATGGGAGTGGCCCAACTCATACATGTAGAGATCTGTTTGAAAAGCTTGGCATACTACCAATCCCATGTGTATATTTGCTCTCATTGATGACATTTGTTGTTAATAATTTGGGTAAGTTTCAAACCAATATCTCTATATATGATTGGTACAAGGAGAAATGACCTATCATATACCTACAACACATTTATCATCCTATCAGAGAGGGTGTATTATTCAGGCATCAAGCTATTTAACATTCTGCCATCAAATATCTCAGTTTTAAAAAATGATAAAATCAATTTAGGTTTTTTTTATGAAAATATTTGCAAAGTAACTCATTTTACTATATTGACGAATTTGTCGAGCATGGAAGGGGTTCAAAAGTTAAGGGTTAATAAATGGTCTGTGTGCTTGTATTATACATTGTTGAGACTTGTTTATTGTAAGTGTGGTAGTATGTATGATGTTTATGTTTGTTATGGATTTTAATATGTTATAATGAAACTGTATTGATGATATGGCTGGCCAGTGTGTGTGGAATGTCAAGGTGTGAATTTGATATTGGTTTTTCCACGACCTGTATGTGTAGTCTTGACAACTTGTGCTCTCTGCTTGAGGCCTGATTATACGTAGGTAAGTCAATAATTATCCGCAGTGTAGCTATAAATTTTATTTCAATACAAATAGAAAACTTAAATTAACATAATTTTTCAACGTAGTCCCCTTGCTTTTCAACGCACTTGGTCCATCGTTGCACAAGCTTCCTGATGCCCTCAGAAAAGAAGGTTTTCGGCTGAGCAGCAAGCCACGCATGCACCGCTTCCTTCACCTCTTGGTCCGAGGTGAATTGACAGCCCCTTGATACCTCTTTGAGTGGACCAAACAAGTAGTCAGAAGGGGCGAGATCTGGACTATACAGAGGATGAGCTATTACATCAAACTTGAGTTTCAGGAGGGTTTCAGCAGCATGGGTGGCAGTATGTGGACGGGCATTGTCGTGCAGCAACACAACACCTTTCGACAGTAGTCCTCGACGTTTGCTATACCAGTATATTATATTGATTTATGGTCAGAAAGGATCTTTACTTTGACAGCACTAACCGAAAAATCCTGTGTGAGGTTATCCATTTTCAGAGCAGTGAAGATGTAGATTGTGCTTTTCTGGGTTATGGTCCCATGTAATTTTGTAGGTAGTTACCACCTGTGAGATTGTGGTGTCATTACCATGAGCACAGTCTAAATGGACTGCTTCCTTTTATTACAGTATCAATCCCATATTACTGTATTTTTACCCTCACTTTTAATTTTCAGGTGGTGACACAGGGAGGAAGACGTCTCAGTGCCTACAAAACAAGCTTAGACCAATCTGAAGCAGGAGATCATGCCAGGTCTGCTGAAGAAGAACCAAGTGCCTCTAATGTGATTGTAGTTCGAACTGATGAGGAGAATGCTGGTGATCACATTCCAGGGTTCCTGGTAGTGGCGTAAGTATTGGCATGTCACACTTTATTGTGTTGATTTACTTTCCTCTTGTGGAGTAAGCACATATTTCAACAATGTGTATGAGGGTGAGTCAAATGAAAACTGTAAACATTTTTTTAAATTTAATTTACTGAATGAAAATGGTACACAGCTGTATAATTTTTCTACACAGTCTCCATTTCGTTCAATACAGGCCCTCCAGCGTTTACAAAGTGTATAGATTCCTCTAGAAAAAATTTTTATGGTTGTCTGTGCAACCACTCCCACCGCCTGCTGTACCTCTTCATCAGAACGGAACTTCTTTCCTCCCAGCGCCTCTTTGAGTGGCCCAGAAATGTGGTAATCACCTGGGGCTAGGTCTGGTGAGTATGGCAGATGTGGAAGACACTCAGAGAGCAAGTCTTTGATTGTTGCAGCTATTGCATGGGCAGTATGGGGCCAAGCATTGTCATGTTGCAAAAGGACACCTCTAGTCAAAAGTCCACGTCACTTTGATCTCACTGCAGGTCGAAGATAATTCTTCGAGAGATCTGAATATGAGGCACTGGTGATAGTGTTTCCCTGAGGCATGTAGTGCTCCAAGAGTATGTTCATCCCAAAAGAGAGTCAGCATAATCTTCCCTGCAGGTTGCTGCGTCCAGAACTTCTTGGGTTTTGGTGATGAGGAATGTCGCCATTCCTTGCTCATTCTGTTTGTTTCCGGTTGGTTGTAGTGCACCCAAGTTTCATTGGCAGTAATGATTCTCTAAAGGAAGCCATCACCTTCTGCTTCGAGGCGCCGCAGAAGATCTTCACAGGCGTCAACACTTCGTTGTTTCAATTCTGGAGTCAGCTGCCATGGCACTTACCTTGCAGACACTTTGTGAAACTGGAGCACATCATGAATGACATGGTGTGCTGATGCATGTCTCATGTTAAGAATTTCGGCTATTTCATCCACCGACACTTGGCGATTCTCCATCACTAGGGCTTCAACTGCTGCAATAGATTCAGGGGTTACAACTCTGTGTGCCTGACCCAAGTGAGGTGCATCTGCCACAGACTTCACATCATTTCTGTACGTATTTCCTACTCCACTCATACACCTGCTGCTGTGACAAGCATGCATCACCATAATGAACCTTCATCTGTTGATGAACTTCATTCGGTTTCACCCCTTCACTGATCAGAAAACGAATTACAGAAAGTTGTTCTTTCATGCATGTATGTAGTGGAGCTGCCATCTTCAAACCAGCACTGTGATTGTATTCTGTTTGTCTGCATTATACTGCCGCCTATAGGATACTCTTTATAGCATTGGTAACATGTATGCCAACTTATAGGACAATGGTGCAATATTTCGAATTTTTATCTCAGTTTTACACTTTTCATTTGACTGACCTATGTATTTATGGAGTCTGCCACTTCCCATTCTGTTAAAATTATTTAACCATTTCTCTCTGTAGTTATTTTATTAGTTGTTAAATATTTAGTGCTTTCCTTATGTTCCTACTTTTAATTTTATTTAATTTGGTACATCTTTTGACAGAATTTTAATTACTAGCAGTGTTTCTAGTTTTCATAGCCCAAATTTCACTACATATTAAAGTATAGATTGCAGTTACTTTATAGAATTTCAGCTTTGTTTCTTCCTTACTTCAAAGAAAATGCATCAGGGGTGAATCAGTGTGGTATAACTAAAGTAAAATTGTGAGATTTGCAGCTGTCATAATGGTGAGAATGAAAATTATGGTTTTCATCTACCAACCTGTGTGGTTTCATATCCCAGAAGACCATAATCTCGATTGTCTGCCAAGTGTCTGGAAGTGCAGTTCTCTTTTGAGAGACCAAAGAGTGTTGTTTTCTTGGTTTTATCAGTGACTGTCATGATCAGTGAAAGCTATGTATGTTTGTAGAGTTCTGTCTTCTGTTATTTGTTTTATGCCTATGCATGGTCCTGCTGTATGATATCCATTTTGTTCTTCCATTATTTTAGTTTCTATTATGTGCTTTAATCTGATACATCTATGAGGGGCGTTCAAGTTCTAAGGTCTCCGATTTATTTTTTTCTCAGGACTGGGAGCAGATAGACACATGTGGTTTAGTTTAAAATACGTCTGCACTCTTTGTGAATGCGTGACAGAGATGGCAGCACTGTACGGCACATAGAACTCTAGTGGTGGCGGCGAGTGTGAGGAGTGTTTTTGATACTTAAAATGGCGACGTTTTCGTTACAAGAACAGCGAGTAATCATTCGTTTTCTCCACTTGTGTGGCGCGACATCCATTGAAATTCATCGCCAGTTGAGTGAGACGTGTGGTGATGGTGTCATGAATGTGAAAAAAATGCGTTCATTGGTGTGACAGTTCAAAGAAGGCCGAACGTCGTGTGACAACGAACCAAAACAATCTCGGCCTTGCACCAGCTGGTCTGACAACATGGGCGAGCGAGTTGAGAAAGTTGTTTTGGAGCTTCGCCGATTGAGTGTGGAAAATATCGCCTCCAAAGTTGACATTTCCGTGGATCTGTGCACACAATCCTGCATGAAGACCTGCGAATGCGGAAAGTGTCCTCCAGGTCGGTGCCACGAATGCTGGCGGACGACCACAAGGCTGCGTGCATGGCAATTTGCCAGGCGATGTTGACACGTGATGAAGGCATGAATGGGACTTTGTTTTCATCAATTGTGACAATGGATGAGACATGGATGCCGTTTTTCAATCCTGAAACAAAGCGCCAGTCAGCTCAATGGAAGCCCACAGACTCACCGCCACCAAAAGAAATTTCGGGTAAGTGACAGTGCTGAAAAAATGATGGTGGCCATGCTTTGGGACAGTGATGGCATAATCCTTACTCATTGCATTCCAAAGGGCACTACGGTGACAGGTGCATCCTACCAAGATGTTTTGAAGAACAAGCTCCTTCCAGCACTGCGAGAAAAATGGCCGGAAAAGGCTGCACGTGTGCTCTTTCACCAGGCCAATGAATGGCCGGAAAAGGCTGCACGTGTGCTCTTTCACCAGGACAATGCACCAGCACATCGGGTGTACGCGACGCAGCAGTTTCTTCATGAAAACAACCTTGAAGTCGTTTCTCATGCTCCCTACTCACCTGACCTGGCTCCTAGCGATTTTTGGCTTTTCCCAACAATAAAAGACACTCTGCGTGGTCGCGCATTCACCAGTCATGTTGCTATTGCATCAGCGATTTTCCAGTGGTCAGAACAGACTCCTACAGAAGCGTTCATAGCAGCCATGGAATCATGGCATCGACGTTGTGAAAAATGTGTATGGCTGCAGGGAGATTACGTTGAAAAGTGACAGAAGTTTCAAATTTTTTGAATGATTATTGTGTGAGAAAAAAAAATCGGAGACCTTAGAACTTGAACGCACAATGTATATCCCAAATTCAAAATACTGATGTCTGTAAACTACATTTACATTTGAAGAAAGCAGTCTTCTGGGATTTGGCACCGTGTATGGTTAACACCACATATACACGGTGCCAAATCCCAGAAGACTGCTTTCTTCATAGTCACCGCCGTGAAAGCCTCAAATCTTACATTTACATTTATTTTCACTTCATGGATCCAATCATCAACCCGTAGGGCTGGATATGAAACATGTCGCATATTACAAATTCATGATGACTACACATCATTCGTCCGCTGTCTAATAAAATATATAATCAGGCCTCTCACAGATAGCTCAGGTTGTCAAGACAACACACATGGGTCATGGAAAAACCACTGTCAAATTCACGCCTTGCCATTCCACACACACTGGCAAGCTGTATCAGTAAAACAGTTACATTATAAAATATCAAAATTCATAACAAAAACAGACATCATACATACTACTACACTTACAGCAAGCAAGTCTCAATAATATATAATTCATGCACACAGACCATTTAATAACTCTTAACTTTTGAGCCCGTTGCATGCTCGACAGATTCATCAGTAGAGTAAAATAGGTTACTTTGCAAATAATTTCGTAAAACAAACCTAAATCGCTTTTTATCATTTTTAAAACTGTGATATTTGATGGCAGAGTGTTAAATAGCTTGACACCTGAATAATACACCCCTCTCTGATAGGATGATAAATGTTTTGAAGGTATATAAAGGTGGTCATTCTTTCTGGTACCAATGGCATATACAGAGATATTGGTTTGAAACTTATCCAAATTATTAACAACAAATGTCATCAATGAGAGCACACATGAGATTGGTAGTGTCAAGCTTTTTAAACAAGTCTCTACATGTATGAGTTGACCCCACTCCCATCATTATTATTATTATTTTCTTTTGCATAACAAAGACCTTATGACTGTCTGATGTATTTCCCCGATATATTATTCCGTATTTCACCAATGAATGATAATATGTCCCTTACAAGTCAGATGATTTTCCAGCTGCAAACTGAGAAATTTTATCATCTCTACTTCTTTCAGCTTTTTGTTAAAAAACAATGTATAGGGTAGCTCATAGCTGCTCTTGGGGTGAATTTTATAATTTTTGTGTTATCCAGATTTAGCACAAATTGATTATTTTGAAACCACATACAAATGTGTTTAAAAAGAGCATTCAATCTTATTTTTAAATTATAGTAGTCTTTAGCTGTGGAAAGAATACTTGTGTCATCTGCAAACCTAATAACTTCCAAAATTTTACTTATTTCAAGGGGGAAATCGTTTATGTATATATTAAAGTGTAAGGATCCCAACACCGATCCTTGAGGCACACCACATCCAACAATTTCCAAGTTAGAATAATATTTATTATTTATATAATTTAATTCTACTCTTTGCCTCCTATATTGGAGGTAAGATTTAAACCATTGCAATAATACACTCTGCAGTCATTTCTGTTTCCATTTTTAAAAAAGCAGTTTCACATTCACTATGAGCTCTGCAGTGAGAACTGGGTGATTTTGAACAGTCACTTATGAAATGAAGTGTCAGTTTCAACATCCAGTAATCTCACATTGAGTCAACATATGTTGGAATGTTCATCCAAAGTCATGCCTAGATCAATTGTGTTTTGTATAAACCGGAGCACTATGAGTGATCCTTCATCATTCTCAGCAGTGTTGGATGTTACTTTTATGAAGACTGTAATCACATCCCTTGCCCCCAGGAACAGTAATGACTATTCTGAGGCAACTCTGGGAAAGGTAGTACATGCCCTTCACCCTGTGATCCTGAATAATGATTGTATGAATTTTCTTTCAGCTCAAAACGATATTGTGACTCAGTGAAGGGCTTCTTTAGTCACCTCCTGTCTAGAGTCCAGCGTGTCACTGCAGATGTATATGCGCTGATGTTCCTCTGTGATTTCTTCAACTTCATGGTAGTCATCTTTGGGTTTGCATCATTTGGGGTGAGTTTGTGTACCTATTTTCTTCTGAGATATATAATACTCAACCTTTCAGAATAGTAGTCAGTTACATATTTGAGTTTAAAATATTCCAGTACATTCTGGGTGACTTCCAGTTCTGTCTTGGGGGAATCAGGAGGAATGAATATCTTCATTTATGAAAAGATCAAGTTTCTTTTTTTTGGGGGGGGGGATTCTTTGCATGAAGCGCATATAGTGGGAGAAATCATTTCTATATGTCCCTCCTCCCACATATTCTATTCCCAGAATTATTAAAAATTTTCACTAAATTTGATATTGAGAGTGTAAGAATAATAATGCAAATTTCATTTTGCTCTATGGTATTCCAGTACAAGCCCTAGTTTATATGGTCCTCAAGTTAGCCGCTGTCCTGTGCTGATTCACTCGATTTCACAACTTCACACCACATTTCTCCAAGATCATTTTCAGTATCATCATCCCATCTCCATTTAGGTTTCCTAGTTAATCTCTTCCCTTTAATGCATGATTTGAGTTCTCACTGCAATGGTTATGCAGCACACTCTTATCTGGGATATAATGCCACATAGTCTGTTGAAAGTCAGCCGATGTTTCAGAGGAACTTATTGCCACCATATTCAGGATCAAATAAGCCAAGCAAGATTCTAGCGTGAAAGCTTGCCACCTGTTTTCATGCTGGTATCCTGCTCGGCATATTGTACCCCAAAGATGGAGGTGACGTGTTCCTCTGAAATGTCAGTTGACTTTCAACAGATTACACAGCATTATATCCCAGAAGAAGGTACTCTTCTTCCCTGTAAGTTATTCTGACCATAATGTCAATATTCATTTTCTATTTCTCCCATGTATGCTGCATGTCCTGGCCATCTCACGCTCTTCCTTTTAATTGCCCTAACATTATTGGGCAAAAGTTTACAAATTATGAAGCTGTTTTTATGAAATATTCTTCTCTTTCCTAAGTCTACATACCCTCTTTATCATTATATATAATAAGATAAACTTCAGATGAATTCTGTGTCATCATGTGGATGCACAGGAAAACATCCATGCTCTACAGAAAATATGTTGCACTTGGTCAGGGACCTCAATCTACCAAAGTAATGTTGATATAAATCTGCTGTTGACTTCTAGTCTGATCTGGGAGAAGGAGGAGTATCTGCTTATCTGGAGGAGAACAAGGTTCCCATTCCATTTCTTGTTATGCTAATCCTGCAGTTTGCACTCATTGTGGTGGACCGAGCCTTGTACTTGCGTAAATATATTCTTGGGAAGATTGTGTTCCAGTTCCTACTTGTAGTTGGAGTCCACATATGGATGTTCTTCATTCTACCTCTAGTCACTGACAAGTAAGTAAGTAAGTAAGCAAGCAAGCAAACCTGTTTTCCTCTCTGAAAGGAAAAAGTTAAGATCACCATGCTGTGTGCATGTACGAGGGGGTACCCAAAAGAAACCGAACTTATTTTTTTTTAAACTTATTTATTCAAATTTTAAGCACAAACCTTCAATCCCCTTCAAAGTACTCTTCACTTACACTAATACACTTGTCTAGTCTTTTATTCTATTTTTCAAAACATTGTCTAAATTCATCTTTTGAGATGCTTGACAGCGCCTCCGTCGTTTTTTTCTTTCATGTCTCTTTTCATTCGAGGAAACAAAAAAAAAGTCGCACGGGATAAGGTCAGGTGAGTATGGAGGGTGAGGAACAGGGTTCATACCATTTTTGATCAAGAATTGTCATACAGACAGGGCTGTGTGAGCAGGGGCATTGTCATGATGGAAAAACCAGTCACCCGAATGCCACAAATCTGGCCGCTGAACTCCAAGTCACTCCCGACAGCTCCACAATTTCTTCAATGGTCCGTCATTGATCTTCCTTGATGATTTCACGAATTTTTTCATCATTTTCATGTGTTCGGGCCATGGAAGGACGACCAGAACGAGGTCTGTCATCAATTGACATTTCACCATTTTTGAAATGGGAAAACCACTCAAACACTTGAGTTTTCCCCATAGCATCGTCCTTGTACGCCGTTTTTAACATTTCAAGAGTTTCTGTTCCACTTCTCCCGAGCAAAAAGCAGAATTTCACCGCCGCACGCTGTTCACGAAAATCAGCCATTACAAAAACGACGATCACACAAAGCAGTTGTCACTATAAACTCTGCCGAAACTAGTCCTTACCTTCTGAAGCAACGGTAGTCGGCTTATCGACTCAGGAATGTTAGCTCTATGCGCTCATAGCGGCAAAACGCGGTACTACAAACGCTCTGCCCACAAAAAAATTAGTTCGGTTTCTTTTGGGTACCCCATCGTATGTTGGAGTGTGAGCATCCATGTGAGTTCAGTTAATTTCATACAGAATTACATATATTATTAATGTTAGTGAAAATAGGCCTAAGCTGTGTAATACTTAGAACAAAGATGTGCTGATTAAGACCAAGAAAAAGGGTGGAGATGTGTATATAACTTCCTTCAATTTTATTATGGTAATAGCAACTAGCAGGTTGCAGTTAAAGATATCATACCTGGGTACATTAAAGTCATCTGAATGATACTATGCATATGTAAGTTTTGTTCTGAAAATTAGAAATAGTTTTCAGTAATTTTGGCCTCACAGTCAAGTGCAGTGTAACAGTACCATATTAAATATGAGGGTCATTTTAAAAGTAAGAACCGTTTTGTTATAAACAATAGAAAACTTTATTCATCAAAATAATTTTAATGTCACTACTAGTTACAACATATGTTTATTTTTCTACATAGTCCCCCATTGTGATTCAGGCATTTGATCAGACGTTGCACAAGCTTGATGATGCCCTCATCATAGAAGTTGGCTGCCAGTCCATTTAATAAATCTGTAACTGTTTCCTTCACTTCTTCATCAGTTGCTATCTGTTTTCGTCCCAAAAACTCTTTCATTTTTGGGAAAAGGTGGAAATCGGAAGGTTCCAGATTGGGATTCTAAGGGGATGATCAAAGTTTTCCCAACCAAATTTCTCCAACAACTTTGTCATTTTTCTGCAGTGTGTGGTTGTGCATTTTCATGAAGTAGACATACTGTACTAGAGATCAGATCCCATTGGGGGGTTTGGATAGCATATTATAGCCTCTTCAGTGTTGTGCAATGTGCATCGCATTAATGGTCTGTGCACAGGGCAAGAAGTTAGTTGAAAGAGTGCCTTTCCTGTCCCAAAAAACACTCCCCATTCACTGTCCTTTCAATTGAACATGTCTGCTTGAATTTTCGTGGTTTCTTTGTCAGAGTGGGCATGATGCCATTCTTGAGACTGCTCCTTACTCTCTGATGCGCAGTGCAAGACCCAAGTCTCAACTCCTGTGACGGTATGGTGCAAGAATTAATCACTCTCTCTGTTATAGTGTTCCAGAAACAACAGCAGTTCACATGTGTCTCTGCTTATGTTCATCTGTGAACATTCTTGGAACCCATCTGGCACAAATTTTTCTGTATCAGAGTTGAACTGTGACAGTCTCATAGATGACAGATTGCGAATCATATGGGAAAACTTCATGAAGCTTATCAATAATGAAGCACCTGTTTTCACAAATGTGAGCATCAACCCGTCAGTGATGACAGATGGGCATCCAGACCACACTTCATTGTGCACATCTCTCCTTCCCCCATGAACCAAACAACACCACTTATGCACATTCCCCTCTCTCATGACACCATCCCCATACACTTTGACAAGTTGACTATGAATTTCGGCAAGGTGAAAGTTTTTCACATTCAAAAATTGAATCACCGAATGCACTTCACAATCAGCGGGATTAGTGGTTGATGTGGTTCTTTATAAAACACTGTGACACAGCAGCCAATTCACTGAATGACTCGGCAAACACTGGGGACGTGGCAGAGGGTTTGATGAGAGCTATCAACCATCAAAAACCTCTGGTCAGTGACCTGGATGGGCAGGGTGCACAGATGGTTCTTATTTTAAAAATGACCCTCGTAATTAAAGTTGTCTCCAATAGGAATTTCACAACACACATCCTTCTGGTTTAGTATTAAGTATTTTCTTAATCGTTCTATTCTCGCTGGCACATATTATGTGTCCAGCCCGTTAAAGCCTTTTCACCTTTATAAATCCAATAATGTCTGGTTCATTAAACAGTTTGTATAGCTCATGGTTATACCTCTTCCTACATATTCCATTTTCTTCCACTGGTCCAAAGATATATCTCAGGATCCTCCTTTCAAATATACTTAACAGCCTTTCATCCGATCTTGACAGTGGCCAGGTCTCAGAGGCATAAGATGGCACTGATCGTATAAGTACTTTATACATCATAGTTTTGGTTTTCCTGGGTATTAGTTGGGATTTCGGGTGTTTCCTAAGGCCATAGAGACATTTATTTGCCACAAGTACACGCTTTTTTACTGTAGTTTCAGCATGAGTATATCCATGCTGTCACAACATACAGGTAACTATGGACTCTGTACACCCTTTGTCACTGCACTGTACTAAATAACATTAGTACAAGATATACAGAGGTTTTCTACCAATGCAGGCTTGTGCAGCAGGTTATACCTTTACTTATATAACTACTCAGGAACTACAGTTAGACAACTAAATTGTCATAGGCCTGACCGCAGCCAAGTTTAAATCTCTTACTCTTCCTACGTCTGGCTTCTGCTTGTCTCATGGGGTGTGTAGCCTCAGCAGACCCAGCAGAAAACACCACTTCCAACAGTTCTTCTGTTGTTGCATGATGTGACTGCTGTCACTTGAGACAACGTGTTTACTGAGTCACTCCCTAGGAGGAGCCGTCTCCCTGGCTCCGATGTTTCACCTTTCAGACATCATGTCACAATACGAAGGGGGACCCAAAAATAACCAGAACCGACCTGTTGCGCGCGCATGCTTTGTAGTTACGAGTTGTGCTGCTAGGTGGTGTTAGCTGGGGGTCTCCCGCGACTGTTAGTGAGCTGGCGTCAGTCTGAGTTAAGTGGTTTGTCTGTGGTGCTCTGTTGTGTGCGTTCCTGTTTCAACCCTTTGGCGATTAGTGAGATGGCCGACCAGAAGGAACAAAGAGTGTGC